GGACTTTCTTCGAGAGGATTAATTATTTTATCCGTCTCTTTTTCTTTTTTTAGATTCTAAGTTGTGTTGTTTGTAGAAATGAATAAATTTTCTTGTAGCGGGTTGATTGAAACGAATTTCTTAAAAGAAAACTTAAGAAAGATATTTTAAATACAGTATGAATGAGACAATTTAGAGTTCTAGATAATAAGTTTACGCGGAGCAATAAGAACTCATCTTTATTACTTTCCAAAGTAATATAGACAATTTTAATTAGATTTCCATTTCACAATATGTAGAAATAGAATATTAATGGACTCATTCCAAAACGCAATACATTATGCATGGTACAGTAATCAGTGACTTTTTCCCTTCCTCGCAATACGCATCGTTTGTATTGTACAATATGGAAAGAAAAGCGATGCTCCAACATAAAGCTGCCTGAAACAGGATCTGCATTGAAATTAATAAAGACATTAAGCAAAATAAAATGGTGAATAAAACAAGCCTAGATATTGCCGTACATGATGCTGATATTATTACTATTTCACTATATCCATTTCCCCCCCCTCATTTATTTACTCTCACTGAGGATAGAATGAAACATCTCCTGAGAGTAATGATGCAAATCTACCCAATGGCCTTCTGCAATTGTGTAGATTACCAGACCAAGCGGCATTCATAAGGCCCTTTTCTGGTTCATAACTGGGTGTCCTAACAACCCAAATAGAACACTCGTGTGACAAAGCACCACGACGTATCGATCGGCATGGCCTGAAGGTTCTGTAGGGATGCTGGGAGAGGCCCTTGGAATAATATTCCTACCCTGGGGGCTTTTGTGGACACTAAGTCGTACGAGGTTGGGAACTTCACCGACATCAAGAGAAATACCAGGCGCAGCGTCCACTTAAATTCAAACCAGTCATTGTACATTGTGTTGGCTGTGTAGAATCATCCCGTTAGAGGTTTCATAAAAGGGATGTTCTTCGCTAAAGTATTTGAGCACGTTGGGTAAACCCATGAAGTTGGTGTGACAACGTAGTCTAATTTCATCGGCGGGATTGGTTAGGGGACGTCAGCCTTGGTGATGACTCTCCATTTCTTTCATTCCTCACTGAAAGGAGAGGAGGGGGAACACCTTGTTTGTCCAGATGGCCGTGTTGGCTACTGGAGGGGTTGAGTAGTCCGCAGTGACCGGAGTAGCCCTACGAATATATGTCCAGTCAGCTGCTCGCTTATAATAAGATCCCGGCTACGTTGGTATCATGATCTGGTCGCTTCTGAGGGTACACCCCCGTGTGGGTGTTTTCACAAGGTGATAGAGGACGAACCACCGTTGCCACTTAATGGTAAAGAATCTACAGGCTATAATAGGGTTGTGGATTACTCGATATACTATATTCAGTTCATTACCAGCTTGCTATGTGAAAAAAGATACGCGAAGCGTGGAGAGACATTAGAGAAATATGTACTTTGTGCGCCAGCAAGTGCACGTGTAAATCTAGTACACGAGCACTGAACCAGCAACATCTAAAGTAGCATCATCATCGATGCTTATGCACTTCTTTGAATTATTTTAAAGCATATACACCACATTTGTTTTCTGCTAAACAGTTAACCTTATACATTGTGTATATCACAGCACATCTTCCTTTGCCTTGGTATCGAGCACATATTGTAATTTTATTTTGTGCTGAGGAGATGTAGGTATGGGTCTTAAACATTAACTTTTAAAGTAAAACAATGAAGTCTCATAAAAAATACATTTACCTATTCATTCTGTGTCACAGTTCGTGTCATGCTTTAATATAATACATTCACATAATCTAAATACATCGTTTCAATAGAAAATAATATAAAAAATAAAACATGTATATTGAAAAACAAATAACATTCATAAACACGGAACTGTGAATCATTTAGGTACTCTTCAAGAAAAAATAGGACGAAGACAAGGTAGGGGTGTATGAAAAACAAGACAAATACGAAGAAAGATGAATCAAACTCCAATACAGGACCGCTGCACCTGAAAGAAAACCCATCAATACCCCTTTCCCTCAACACTCACCTTCTCCACACGTGGGTATCAGAATACCTTTTTCTGACCGCTCACAATTCCTTTATCATTTTATTATTACTCCGTGATTTGTTGTACCGTCTTACCGCGGTACTGCTGGCTCTGCAAAACTTTGGCGCGCTTCAGCTCCTCACGCTCGGCGGCGATCTTGACCTCA